TATTATTAAACCATGCTTAGCTTTAGAATAAAATGAAAGGTATGACCACTCAACTTTTTTAACTAATCTTTTGTTTTACACTCAGGAGTTTAAAGCAGTTTTATTTATGCTGTATTATAACGATCCATTCACAACCTCAACAAAGCTATCAAGAGTTTTTGTTTAATAAATATTATTTAAACTTTTTAAGTTCCCAATTCTAGCTTTTTCTAATAATTAATAATACACATAACCTTACTGATTCGAAAAATTATTGAAAAGATAACATTGTTGCAATCCGCTTACTTCTAGAAAATTTCTTGTCAGTGCATCAGTCTTCTGGTCAGTGGGGAATTACTGGTACAGTTGTTGTCTGGAGCACCAATTGCGAATACGGTATTGCAGTAAACCCAAAGAAATTTTGAAAATAATACCAAAAGTTTTACCAAAAAAAATTTATAGTCAAATTTAAATTTTTTATAATTAAATCTTTTTTGAATTTCAATACATACTTTTCACTTAAGTATGTATTGACAGATTTACAATAACCGATTAATAAGAACGTTTCATATATCAAACTTTTTGTAAAATATATGGATAGTTCTGAGTGCACTTCCAGTGCAATATTGGATTAAATCTTTGTATTTAAACTAACTTCACAGTCTAACCCCTTTTGTAATAGAAATGAAAGAATGAAATGAAATTGTTGAAATTTGCCTGATGAGTCCAGTAAATTATCAAAAATAAGCATTAGTCTGGATAGAGTTAGAAATTTCACACAATAAAAGAATTGGGAAGATTTGTTAAAAACAGTTTCGAAGTTGATATCTTATTGAATTGAATTTGGGCTATGTCCAAATTTAGGGCTATTACCATAGTGGATATAATCGAAACAGAAATTGATGCTATGGAAAAGCCAATGTAATCTGATCAAGGCTATAACGCAAAAATCGTGGAAACTAGTTAAGGAAACTGTTAGCACATGGTAATTTTTTATGTATATATATAAAATATATATAAAATGAGTTCTTAACTATTGAGATACTCAGATATTGAATTTCGGAGCTACGAGTATAATTGTACCGAGCTACAGGAAATTAAGTAAATGAACTAATTTAGTTGTTCTTTTGCATGAACTCGGTCAGTAAAATTGATTGTTAACGAATTAAATAAACTTACTTTAATTAGGCATATATTATTATTATTTAAAATAATATCAAATACACAACATCTAGTAAAGTTCAGTTAATATTCTACATCGTTAGTTTTTAACTTTACTAATCAGAACTTTAAATGTTTTGCTACCAAATTGAAATAACTTTATAATTAATTTAATTAGTCCTTGTAATAAATTATATATTTTCATAGCTTCATAACTTGACTTGACAATTTTATGGAGGCCATAAGTACTCCATTACACCAACAAATAGTTGCAATATCTAAAAGCAAGGATTTTCGCACTTCAAAGTAATTCCAAATTGTTAAATAGTTTGTTGGAAGGATTAGCTTTTCAATGTAAAACTGATTTACCTGTAAGAAGAACAATTTTAACACTTTCATTGGCGAATACTTGTTTTTGCAATACTTACCAGTTTCAGCTGCCAGCTTGTATTCCTCCAGCCGAAACTATTAAAGTCTGATGTAAGAAAAAAGTTTTGTATTTTTACTTCATAGTTAGCAACATTTTCGCTAACATATGTAATAGTCACTGTGTAAACTGAGCAAATTAGTCCAAATCCAAGCATAAAAGCAATATAACCCATTTTTAATCTATCTCTGCTTAAGTAGAATACTTGTACATAATAAGACATAAAATAAAGAAGAATACACATCTCCAGCACAAGAGTTGCAGCAAAATATCTCTCAATCAAAGGGCGTAACTTGAGTATAGTTCGATAGAAGTTTAAAAAGTCTATTAACGTAATATTTTCATTTTTAGTAACAAATTTAAGTGTAGGCGCAGTTTGTGATAACTTCGCCATCAGTTCCATATAAATCAAAAGTCCCAATGCCGCAATCATAGATATTGTCAGATGTGGTATGTAAAACATTATCATCAAAAAAGTATTTTTAATAAATTCCATTTCAAAGGAGTAGAATATTAAAAAAAATATTATATATCGCGTTATTAGTAAAATATAACAAAACAAATTAATTGTAAATTTATCAGCACAAATATTATGGTATTGTTTAAACAATTTAACATATAAATTAAGACACTTTCTCATGCCAACACCATCGCAAATTATATCGTATGTTAGTGTAGTGTGATAGATGACACCATGAATATAGACACACACCATATAGTAGAATACCATATTTAGTTCAATGGAATTTTGATGTACTACTACTTGTCTTAAAAAATGAGGCAGGAGAGTACTAATAGCTATTTTACATGGTAGTAATATAAAAATATGAAGTATCTTAACATAAGTCCAAAGAATTCCAGATTTTACGAAACTCTTCTTTTGCGAATCATAGACAAACGGATTAACGCCTGTCAGATGTGTTAGAAAATTCCAAAATTTTAGTTGAGTTAGCAGGAATGAATCCATTATATCGTGAAAATTTATGGTAACTGGCATGAAATTACAATGATGTGAATATTTTTCCATTTCCTGACTTTATTAAATCATTATGCGCATACATTTCGATAGCATATGCATGGTTAATTGTCACATATTACCAGTAATGCATATAGATACCTATAATAATATTAATAACTTTAGCTTATGCTTTAATTAATGATATGCTCTTAAATAAAACTGTTGAGACTGGCCTCGTGCATAAACTGTTTTACTGGCCTCGTGAATATATTTGAGGTTTGATTATTATGAAATGAGCAAACACCGGCAGTAGCGCAACCATAGTTGTTGTTAGTATTAAAGCTATTAATATGCTTGGTAGTGACGACATTGTTATGACCACGGTTGCCACTTGAAAATTTTTTTCTGTACCAAAATTGGTTTAAAAAGGTACCATTTCTGTAAAAAAAGGTCCAAAATTTTTCTATTGTCTTTTTATAAGAAAATACAATTTATATAAAATGTACAAAAAGTATAAAACAATACAATATCCACAATAAAGTTGGGTCGCCGAAAATGTACCATTTTTTGAACATGAGTACCAGAGTACCAAACGGAAAAAAAAGTACCAATTTTGGTACTAAAGTACCATAAGTGGCAACCGTGGTTATGACTTTTAGTAGCAATGATATCACAGAGTATATTGATAAACATTATGTTTAATCTTTTAATTATATTTTAAATATTACGCATTACATGTTATTTAGTTAAATCATATAAAATAGATTTATTAACTAAATTTTATTACTTAAATCGTGTACAATAGAATTATACACTAAATTTAATATAATCGTATTAACTAAAATTATTAATTTAACTTAATATGATTACATAAAATAGAATTATTAACTTAATTTAATTAATTTAAATGAAATAGAGTTATTAATTTAATTTAATTTAATTACATGAAACAGAATTCTTAATTTAATTTAATTATATTACAATTTTAGTTTTAAAAAATCCCACTTCAGTATTGCTATATAAATGGCATTAAAAAGATCATAAAGTTATTTACAATTAAAATTATTTATTAATTTTATATGAAATTATTGTATTATAATTAGGCTAATATTTTTCACAAAAATAAAAGTCATACAATTTTTTTAATTGGTTGTATAATACTGTTGTATTATATATTGTATAATTGTATAATAGCATTTTTTTAAAAAGTTCATAACTTTTGTTTCCTTCAGTTTATTTTTACAGCTTTATATGAATGAAAAGAATAATCTCTCACGAATTTTTTCATATATGTATAGTGCTTTACGATTATTGGTCTGGTGGCAAATCATTATATTATGGATGAAGCCATTATTAGCTATAAGTATTTATTTAACTTTTTGTAGTATTAAAGCATCTACAGCCATAAAAGTTATCTATTGAATAATATATAAATTAATTAAAATAAATTGATGTCATAATACTTTTTTGGTTTAATTAATATAGGACAAGAATATGGAAATCGCTCTTTGCTTGTCTTCCATGCTTGTCTAATCCATGTGAATGGACTAGAAATGTATTCGATTTACAACGTATGTCACTTTCCTTAACTACTATACAAAAAACTTGATATGCGTAACAATATTAGTATTCTGATGGGTAAGAGTGAGAACGTGTGAACTGTTTTGGATTACAGATACAAATAGTTTTCTTTATCAGTATCTTTTAGCGAACATTGCTTTGAAAAAGTTTCAAAACAACCATTAAAATTGGTTACTTAAAAATTGAAATTTATGTTCAATAATGGTCTGGATAAACATCTGGAAATGAGTGTATTGGAAAGTGATAGCTACAATGACACAGATGACTTATGTATCTCAAACTCTTTGGAACCGTGGAATTAAAAATTAATTCAGTCTAAAACTATGCAATATTTAATTTGAATTGAATAATTTTTGTTTTTTTGTATTTATATAAAATATAATATTTTAACATATTTTTTGCCGATTTATTCACGTTTTATAAATAAAGTATCTATAAAAATATTATTTTTAACAAAAATTTAAGTTGTTACTACATAATAACAATAAAATTATAGATGTTGCCCGGAAAATGAAGAAATGCAATCATCTTAATTTTAAACAATAAGATTTAATACTATATGTTGGAATACATATTTATTATTATTTTTTTTTTGGAATTTTACACATAGTCAAAATTTTTTTTCTTTTTCTAAAATAATATAATTAATCTTATTTTGGCAGGTCTGTGCTACTGATCAGCTAGTTTTTTGGCTAATAAAATGATACATTTCAGTAGAGTTGAGTTAGATACTGAATTCACCATTTATGCGTTAACCAATTTATAATAAATTTAATGTGGAATTTAAGTATTTATTCAATTTTTTTCGTATTTATCTTTATATATTTGGCTTTAAAATGTTACAACTTAAAGTTACTACAAAATATTTTGATTTAGAATTTCTTAAAAAAAGATGTGCACTCATACACTAAATGAGAAGAAGTTTAGATGCGTTTGTGTGGAGGTAAATATGTGCCCGATGGTACTGATAAGCCACCAAAGTTTGAAACGCTACCTACTCCAACATTTTGTGGTTTTGATGAGAAATCCAATACAGGTGCAACGCCTCCATTATGGCTGCTTGTTCTGCCGCCCAAGTTGTCATATTGCGCTTGAATGGTACGTTGTGCATTAGCTGCATCTGCTGGTGTTCTGTACTTAACGAAGTGCACCTCTGGTCTATTGGCATTATTATTGTTTAAAGAATTCAATTTCTGTGCCAGTTGTGAGGTATCAGCTTGTTTCTGTAATACATAAATAGCAGTACGATCATCAGTTGCAGATTTAGCTAATTGTAATGCGGCATTTTCTAATCCTGAACTTTCTGGTCCTTTTACAAATATAACGCGTAGATTTTTCTTGAGAGAATTCGAAAGTTGTTGGTTAAGGCCACCATCATCAAAACTAGCTTCAGGTGCGGAAAAGGTGTAAAATTCTTTGTTGTATGGTGAGATGGGACCACTTAAGTTGTCATGACCGCTCTGTACGGCAGTATTTCGTGAATAGTCATATCCTAAACTAGCTCCATAGGCTACGCTCAAACAGGATAGTATCTGTCCATTTTAAATAGAAATTTAATTTAATATTTTCTTTTAATTTATTTATATAAATATATTTTATTTTACCACAAAAGCACGCATATTGTTTTTTTTTTCGATGTACGAAGTCGAATGTTAACTGATAAACTGTTTGTTGTCTCTTAAATTGCCTTCACTTTTATATACCATTTTTGCGTAAATTGCAAATTTATAAATATGCATAATATTAACTAACTTATTTGTGCAAATTTATTTGCAATTGCAACAAATTGTAATAATAATAACGAAATTTTAATATAACAAATTCCACAATAAATGCAAAATCTGCGCTGAATGTGTCAAATTTATCCTTGGCGTTATCAAAAGCATTACAAGATTTCATCAAATTATTAATATGCATAAAAAGTCCAAAGTTTAGATAAATTGTCTTCTTTCTTTTATTTGTTGAAACTGTGAACTGAAAATATAGTTCGCTTTTTGTAAAAATATAAATTTTAATTTATTTTGCGGTACAGTTTACGTTGATATATAACTTTGCAAATGTATCACTCTGATTTTGGCAATACTAATATCTGATATTTAAAGTTGGTAAAAATTTGGTATTTATTATAAAAATACATATATTATATAAAAATATATTTGAAGTTTATCATATTGATCTAACATATCTTATATATGTTTCTTTCAGCCAAAGTTGAAAAGAATATTCTATGTTGTATATAGAACTTCCTTTCTAGAGACGGAGAATGATACATTATTTCAGTATTTGTGAAGTAGTTTGACTTTTATCAATACCTCATGACATAGTTAAAATGACAAGAAAGCCCACTATATCAAGCGAGATGGTATTGAACATAAGTAATATTATTTCGTTTTGGCATTTTATGGGTAGCCACTCTTTTAGTCTATAAATTGCTCTACGTTCCATTTTATTTTCTTGTATTAATGTTTTGGTTCGAAGCTTCAGATAAATCGCCTGTGGCAACCTGCTTTATGTACGACATTTTCTAGTTATACTTGCTGACAAATTAAAAATACATCATATTCTCTCGTAAAACAGAATTCTATCATAATGATCTTTAATATTGATAAGAGCTTATCAAAGCTCTTCTTGTGTCATGATTTGTCTGATTTCTATAAAGTTCTTTGTAGGCATTTTGGAATAACACCACGTCAAATAAGTACTAATGTAGGTGACTGCATTAAAAATTTCATTAAACGCATTGGTTTCCTGTATGATATATATACATAAAGTCAAACTTCCATAACTCGAAATCAAATTTTGCAAAGTAAAGGTTCGACTTATGGAGACTTCGAGTTAACTAGAACTACATTTTAAGATATTTATTTCTTTGCAATCAAAAAGAGATTCCACTTTATTCATGCTCTTATAGTGATGATATATTGTAGTAGCATTCGTTTGCAAATATAAATTCAGAATTTTAAATTAGTCGTCTACTTCATTCTTGGAAGGCTGATGAACACTAACATCCACCGAATCCTCATCATCATTTTCCGTTGTGCTTAGAGTTGGATCCAGTAATTAAGGCTATAGATTTCTGTAGGAAATCTTGATGTACAAATTTTATTGTCAAGCTCAATATAAGGGCTAAGAGTAGCATTGGACGTTATTTTATTTACTTTAAACCACGCTGCCAGCGACTAGCGTTTGCACAAAGAAGCAGCATATGAAAGAAAAAATAAACATTTGGTTCGGAATAAAGGACTTTCCCTAATACCAAAATGCATTTATACTTCAAAAAAAAATTCGACTTATAGAATGCAGTTTTCCATATACCTATTGGCACGACACAAAATTTTTGTTCGAGTTATAGAGAAATTTGAGTTATAGAAGTTCGAGTTATGAAAGCATAATTGAATGTAATTTCCTCTCTAAAACCTTGGTGCACTGTTTTTGGTTCGAGTTATAGAAAATTCGAATTATAGAAGTTCGAGTTATGGAAGTTTGACTGTGTTTACAAAATTTTAAAAAAACTTAAAGCAATCAGTAAATAAAAGAAGTTTTTACAACATTAATAATTTTGCATAAATATTAAAAAATAACAGCATTTTTATTTCTGGGCTAGGGAGTTATCAAATTTTTTATTATAGTTGCTCCCTGACAAGTGATCTCTCAGCTCCCACGCGTTTTACCGTTACGGTGTTGGTTTTTGTCCAATGGGATTTTAGTTCGCGATGGAAACTCCAATAAACTTATACTTATATTCTGCTTTATAATATCTAATAATTTGTTCATGACTTTATTAAAACAGCAAAATGCTTCTTACATTTGGGCAAGAAGTACCAAAATCTTTTGCCGGACAACCGGTTTTGTGGTTTTTCTAATGCATTATGGTCTAGTGATTAATCAAATTTTGGATCAAAACAATAAATAGTAATTTATTCTGTATAATAAAATGATATGATAAAATATTTTGTTGGCTTTTTGTGAAACAATAAACTCAGGTGTAGTATTGTGATCTAAATTATTGATTTTTAAACCAATCTATATACTTTTAAATTTCTATAATGACCTATATTGTAACTTAACATAAAATAGTACAACTTAATAAGATTCATAGTATGAATTACTATATTACTCGCTTATATGATATTATAGTCGATAAAAAATATAATAAATAAATTAAAAGACAAAGCACAAATCTTAAAAAATATATATATAAAGTATATTACATATGTTACCATATATGGTATAGATGAGTGTAGTGCTCCTTAAAAGTCTTTATTGCAGGTTTTTTAGTTTTGTTGTATTTTCGTTTTGATTGGTTTGGACATTAACACTTTATTTTTCAGTTTCCAGTTTGGTTGGCGCCGTCTCCCTATATTTTTCTAGTCTATATTAATTTATGCTTAATTTATTCAGATACAGTAGGCAAAAAAGTTGAATATATATTAGACTAAAATATCAAAACGATTTATTTCAAAATTTAACTCGGACGTATATTGCTTGCAATAAATAGATATCATATACACACATATAAAATGCTTATAATCAATCTGACTTAAGAAAATGTTAATATCTTAAAAGGTTTATGTGAACAACTACTGCACACTGTGCCTTACTATTATCTGCCGAAAAGAGAATAAATTTACTTCGTCCGTCATTTTAATACATTATTTGAATTTATTATCACCAATTAGGAGCAATCAAAATGTAGTGCATCTTTCGATTCTCTTAAGGTGAACTTTTACGTTTAAGTTAAGAAGTGCAGGGTCAGAAGTTTTGTATAATATTTAAATAGTATTATATTTTAGGTATATATTATTTTATTTCTGTGTATATTATACATACTTAATTATGATGATTTATTAATTTAAAATAACAGCAGGAAATATTGTTTACTTTTGTCATCATAGCTCTACAGTAGAGTAGTAGTTCTAGAATTTTTGAATTAATTTTTTGTGAAATTGTTCGTTAATATGAGTAAAGATACAATTTAGTTTTACTTTACTGAAAAATGTAACTATACATTTTTAATATAATGATCCATTATAAGAATTGCAATTAAAAATTATAGAAGTTTCTGAAGTAAAGAACAGTACAAAAGTATAATGAACTTTAATTCAATTTAGTATCTGAAGATCTATTGTATCTATTTATTATTTATTCTTTTGATTAAAATATATTTATTAATACCAATTGAATTTCTTTTAGTTTTGATAATAATTGAATATTTTTTCTCCTATATTAATTTAAATTAAAGTTTATTGTGCTTATGTAAAACTATTTACTTTGTATGGTATATTTTACGCTATTTTTTTTTATATCAGATTTATACATTCTAATTTGAATATTTCATTTGAATATTTTTATGACAATGTCGTCATTCATAAAAATTCCATATAAATTTATTCAGATAAAGCTATTGATATATATAAATAAAATTTTTTGTTCAACTTCTTCATTTTGATTTTATGACTTAGCGGGGCTTCTTTGATGTTAAAAATAGTGCATATAAAAATGCCATTTAAAGCCATAGAAAGCCATAGATAAAAAGAGAAAGGAAAGTGTTTAATAAGATTTTTGTGCTTAATTTTGAATATTTAGTAAATATTAAATTTATATTGTTTATAAATTTTAATAATTTTAAACATAAAAAATATCTGTTATTTGGCATAATAAAATTATGAAGGATTTTCAATATAAATACAGGATATTTAGTAAAGGGCTAATTTTTGAAATTGTACATATTTTCTTTACAAAAATTAAGAGAAATAATTATTGCTTTTAATTTTTTAATTATGTTTTATCGAAACACTGCAATATGTGGCATAACTAATAGATATTTTTGACTTCGAATATATTTCTAATTAAGTATCTAAATTTTGGAGTATGGAGATAGTCAACGAGACATATAAAATAAGCCTTTGGAAAATCTAAAAGAATATGGAAATCTCTGAAGATCCGTTATGGCTCCAAAATAAAAATGTTTTAAAGCTTCATTTTTGTATGAAAATAAAGGCTGAAATATAATCGGCGATTATTCCTAAACAGTAGCTCCCGACTTCTGTATAAATTTGTTAATCGAACTTATTGTCGTATTATAGAAATGTTCTGGCCAAACAAAATATCAATAATATGGAGTTAGGGCTCAGTTTAAAGTAACTACGAATTACATAAGATATACTGACACGAAAATATAAGTATATACTCTACATATACATAGGCCCGCAAAAGTTGTAACTAAGAAATGCTGGATTAAAATCTTCAATGTAGCCGTTTCGGACGTATACAGAACTTCTAAAAGAGATAAAAAGAAACAAAGCTGCGGCTTCATGTTTACTAAAGTTCAGCGACTGCAGCCAAAAGAGTTTAAATGTGTGATGATCTTATATTACTTATATAAATATCATATATAGATATAATATTTCAAGGATAATATCATACGTAGACATAATATTGAGAAGGATGATATTTTTATTCACACTTTACAAAATAGTTGTGACATTAAATAAATAAATAAATAAAAGATACACAAACAGGTTGTTAAAAAACAGAATAATATCTAATGAATGTCTTTTGCTAAGAAGCTGTTGATGTGTGATGCAGTCAAAGCTATAACTAAAGTATCGTATAAATGTATAAAAACCATTTATATTTTAAAACTTAGGACGTGTGCGAGTTAGGCTAAGTTGATGCTAAACTAAATGGGAGATTTTTTGGGCTGAACACATTTAGCCATTTATCAACACGCATCGACACATCACTTCGTTATCGGCACAACTTAGAATTTCCCTCATTTAAAACGCAATTTAGCCTAACTCGCACACGTCTTTAATTACCTTAATTAGAGTAACATTTGAATAACTCAAAAAAGATACCAGTTTTCATTTAGTATTACTGCACTAATATAATTGATATGAATTATGAGTGCGATGTTTATATTAACTACAATCAGTTTTTCATTTATTTTAGTTTTTAAAGCAGACGCATCTGTGTATGGTGCATTTAATTCCAATCCTAAACGACCAATGGAACTTAAGTCTATACAACTTGTTGTTGTTGTAGTTGTGGTGATAACGCAGTATGCCTTGAAGAAATCAATTTGATAGAAATAATTTTATACTAAGAAAACAAATTTTATAATTTTATATAGTTTGTAATTGAGTAATATTAACAGCAATAAAGTTGTTGATATAAAGACTTGCAATTACAACATAGTTATTAATTGATATTGAAAATGTTTTATAAGTACTTTTCTTAAGGAGATATTTATAATATAACAAAATTTGGTCCAATACTTACATTCAAGATTCAATCTATATATTTCGTACTTGTGTTATTTATATTAGTATTACTAATATTACTACTACTAATAATAGTATTACTTTTTTTACAAAATATTACTTCATTATGAATGTATACATTTTCCATAAAATTTGAAAAATAGTTCCATAAATGTTTTCGAATATACGATTTCATTTCGTGCTATAACTACATCTCTCATAAGCCGTTATCCATACAAATTGACATCTAACTATATTCATGGAGTGATAATAACAGATTCTTTTAATGAATTTATTATTTTTATGTTTTACTACAAGTGAGTAGATATAAATCTCCTAGAAATAACTACAGAATTATTGCGGTGCTAAAAAATTGTAGGCCACGTGTCCCATCTAGTAATAGACAGTTGATGCAATGGTATTGAAGCTATTATATTTAATATTTTTTTAAAGTTAACCTTAGAACACATTTTAATATTTTAATAAATTAATAAACTGTTCTGCTTTATTTTTAAATGTTCGAAGTTGTGATAAATCATATGTCATATGGGACAAGAGATACTTTTGTATTGCGCACTTTTGTTGAGCAGTTAATAATATAAATAAAATAATTTTATAATAAATTTTTTTGTATTAATAAAAATGTTTGATTATAATTGGTTTGTCTGTAAATATTTTTAATATATTTAACTGCATATTATTTATTGTCTTATGTGACTAAGTAAGACTTATTATATGTTTTTACATATGTATGTTTTATCCTGTTAACAAATTTTGTTTAAGATTTGTTTTCAAGTCTTATTTCTATTAATTTTAATATTTTTTTAAGTTAAAAATTATTTTTATTTTTAACTAATTTTAATTTTAAAAACATTTCAAAATTTTACGAAAATGAGTCCTTATACAGCGGCACTGTTCACTACTAAAATTGATAAGAATTTTCACTTTTGTAGGGGTTTTGCTATCATATTCAATATCTTTCACTTAAAGAAACAACACAATTTGCAATTATTTTTAAATTTTCTTTATATTTCGTATAAAGTTCATGTAACAAATAACGAATAAGAGAGAGTTTACTAAAACTAAATAACAATCAAAACAACAAATCACAAACTTAGAATCTTCTGCCAGGTGGCAAATACGATGATTGTGGTGGAATGTAAGAGCTGGATGGAGCAGCTGGTAGGGAAGCAGCTGGAGCAGATTGACGAATTGGTGCCTTAGAAGCGAAATCCAAAACTGGAGCATGTCCGCCATTGTTGCTAACGGATGAACCGGGCAATGAATCGTATTGAGATTGAATTGTGCGTTGAGCATTTTCGGCATCAGCTGGTGTCCTGTATTTGACAAAGTGAACTTCGGGTTTGTTGGCATTGCTGCTCTTCAATTGATTCAATTTGTTAGCCAAGTTGGAGACATCAGCCTGTTTGCTGAGTACATAAATTGCAGTACGATCATCAGAAGCAGATTTGGCCAATTGTAAGGCAGCATTTTCAAGTCCTGAGTTTTCTGGTCCCTTGATGAAGACAACACGGAGATTCTTCTTCAAAGAGTTAGCAATTTGATCATTGGCACCACCATCATCGAATTCATGTTCAGGTGCGGAGTAAGAATAAAATTCCTTATTAAATTCGCTTGATGGTTGAATTGGTTGAGATAATTGATCATCGCCACGTAAAGGAGCGCTATCATCATGACCAGCTGTTTGTGGAGCATAGTCATATTGAGCGGCTGCAACAGCAATTAAACATAAAACCTAATAAAATTAGAAAAACAAAAAAAATAAATAAAAATTAGTTAATCCTTGTTTGTGTTTTAGTCCTTGTTTGTATTATTCCAACTATTTTTCTTGATACGTACCACAAAAATACGCATCTTCAGGCTTGTAGCAGGTAAATCAGTTTTGATTGAGTGTTGAATTGATTATGACTTAATTTCGGCTGATGCTGCCATCTTTATACTAATCAAGTTATTTCGATATGACATTCGTATTGGATGTCAACATAGTGCGATTGTGTGGCTTCAGCACTTTAACATTGGATTTTAGATGTACGAGATATGCCAAGTTCAAGTACGACTCTTTTCAGTATTAAATTATGTCTCTGAAATGCTATATTTTGCATATATTTCCAGTTAAGTTTTGAAAAAAAAAATAGTTTTATATAAATAGTTTACAAATAAAACTGAATTTTTGAACTTATTCAAAGGGAGCATATCATGTATTCGATTAGTTGTATAAAAATATTTTCAAAGAAAGTTTTACACTGTCAACAATTGTGGATTATTAATTTTTGATTTATGTGGTATGCAAGAAGAATATGGAAGAATTTATTAAAAAAAACTTGCGGGGTTATAGATTTTGAAATTATGATAAAAATTATACAAATTTGATGAAACTTTTTATGACAAATTTTTATATTAATTAGATTTTATTCGTTACTTATCAAATTTCAAAAAAAGTAATATAAAAAAAATTAATATCTAAAAATTAATTAATATCTAAAAATTATTACTTATAATTATATTTTTCTTATTACAGATTAGTGTATAATCTCTAATATTCCTAATATAAAATATTTCTTAATAATTTTAATTCTTAATTATCTAACATAAAAGAATAATTTGCATGATACTACTATCAAAAATGGCGAAAAGAATTTCATATATAGCAGTCATAATTTATGGATATATTAATATATATTTTAGATATACATATATTCTCTATTAAATGTGGAGCCACGATATTGAATTCTGGAGTTTTTCTTATGTACATATAATACACATTTTATTCCAAAGGACTCTAAAGGTACAACAAACTTGTGATTATGTTTTATTTTATTTTTTTTTTATATTCCAATTATAAATGTACTATTTTACAAAAGGATTTGAGTAATAGATTAATAGACACTTCATTTAATTTATATGAATTCGATCATATGGCATTTAGTTGGAGTCGGCAATATTAACACATTAGTGGTAACTATTGAAAGCCCAGAAAGTCATTAGGTGTGTATATAAAACTATTGAAAATTAAATTTAAATAAATTAAAATATCACAAAGAATCACATAAATATATAGCAAAGGCCCTTACATAGAAATTTAATTTTATATTACATACTTTGTAACATATAAAAAAAGAAAACAATAAATTAAAAATTAACACATATATTATTGAAAATATCTGCTGGATAGGTAGTTCTATCTATAGTGTTGATCTAATAATATAGGAATTATATGATGAGAAATCTGTGGGTGCACAATAGATCAAACTGGTCGCAGTGCATAGGGGCCTAAGCCTAACCCAAAACCACCCAATACCATTGACTATGATGAAAAAATGGATTTACTTATATTGCTAAAAGGGTCTACAATCTATCAGTGCTATTAATAAATTTTCTTAACTATTTGCAACTAATATGGTTGTATATGTTTCGCTACGACTAAAATAGAAAATTTATTAAAAAAAAGAAAAAATTTAAGTAAGAGCAATAAAGAATTATTTTACAATGAATAAATGTTGTTTTCATAGAACGCTAATAAACCGTAGGTTGTTCTGGTGTTCCGTATGTTTGTCAATACTGCGGTTTTCACACGTTTTACGAGCTTTGTTTACTGTTCGGCAATTTGTTTTAATTACTAAATGTTCACTTCGTTGTTACTAATTCTTTAACATTAACTAGATGATCCTTTAGAATAAATAATTTTTATATTTTTTTATTTGATTAGTGTTTTATCAAAATTAGTAGTAGCATAGAGTAAAGTAGAATAGAATTAGAGTAGAAAATATTTCATATATATAACCAGTATAAGTTAAACTAACAAGTTTTGGCCTCTATGAATTATGACTCCTACTAATAATTATTCTAAATAATAAACAATTTGGTACAATGAAACATTATAGATCGTGTCACTCAGGTATGGAAGTAATATTTAGTTTATCATATATACAGATTTTGGGTTCTCACTTGCAAATGGTCGAATAAATTCGAATTTATATTTTAAAAAAAGAAAATGTCTTTCACTCTCGTGGCCTCTTTAAGTACTGCGAAAAAATAAAACTGAAGTCTCAAGTAATCAAAGAAGTTATGAAACTATTTATTGGAAGCTTACCTATGTCAAGTATCTTAAATAGTACAAATGAACCGATAATAATTAGAACATAATAGACACATGGTTAGGGGAATGAGAGACTGAAGAAAGCAAAATGAAATGTCAGATCATATTTTCACAAACGTGTATTTATTATAAATGCATCAGCATTGTTGAATAAGATATATTAATTTTTCTATTTTTCTGAAATGATTTGAAAGTCTTTTGGGAATAAACTTCTGGCTTAGGGCCTAGAACATACATTAAGACTGAAAAGTTTTCGGAAATTCTCATTTAAAATTCGCGCGCTGTATATTTTTCGATATTTTAAGTTTATGTAGTTTGGCAGCACTGTCCTTAATTACTATGCAAAAAATGAGCGCGATCTGTCAGACAGTTCGTTTACGGCAGCTGTTGAAACCAGTTCACCTCAGTAGTGCGTTGCGAAATGTCTTCGACGGTCGTACGACCGTACTGAAAGGCTTTGTACCACTCATAAACTTGAGTTTTCGATAAAACTGATTCCCCATAAGCCTTTTGTAGCATTCGCAACGATTCTGCACACGAAATTTCGTTCGAAACACAAAATTTGATGCAAACTCTTTGTTCAATATTTTTTTCCATTGTTTTTTTCGCAACGCACTACTGAGGGGAACTGGTTTCAACAGCTGCCGTAAACGAACTGTCTGACAGATCGCGCTCATTTTTGGCATAGTAATTAAGGACAGTGCTGCCAAACTACATAAACTTAAAATATCGAAAAATATACAGCGCGCGAATTTTAAATGAGAATTTCCGAAAACTTTTCGGTCTTAATGTAAGTTTTTTGAGCAATATACAAGCCATAATAGATACTCAAAGGCATTTATTCGGTAAATTAGTTATTTAAACAAAAAAAGTAACGATTTGGTAAATGTGATAACTTGATAATATATTATGTATAGTCGAACTAAGGTCAAATTAAGATTAAACCTTTATATTATATTTATTGTCTAATATTTATATTATAGTATGATAATATTATGCTCATAATATTTAATATTTTTGTTGCGATTGTTGTAAATGCTTCTATTTAAGAATAATTAAAATAGTTTAATTTTTAAACTATTAAAATTAATTATTTTAAAATTCATAGTTATGATTATAGAAATATATTTTTTTAAATATAATAACCAAGGAAATTTTTTAAGTGTAGTGCTCTCTCCAAATTAAATTACATATAATAGAAATGTCTTTAAATGCACAAACACTATTAATATTGCTATCTTGCTTACACTCATTTAACTCATTCCCATTTACTTAATTAATTTATGCACAAAAATTTTTATGCTAATTTAAAACTATGAAATCCTAAAAACACACAATACACCACACAACAGCCGCAACCTACCGCAACAAGCGGCATGTAGCAACAACAAAAACAATACCATTCAATAGAAAATTGTTGTTTTTTTAAACTGTCTTCAAATATGCGAAATTCAAATTAATATTTTAACTATTCACATATAAAAAGCTACATATATCGAGAAAAAACGAGAAAAAACGCCAAAACGAATAAAATTTAGCAATGCTAAAGCTTCTTGGTACGAGCTTGTGGGTGAAATGTCTACCGTTTGAGGGTATCAACGCTTTCAAGCTTTAAATTTGTTGTTATTTTGTTGCCAATTTTTTTTGATTTGCTTTTTTAATGATCACATTTTGTTGTTGTAATGGAATTCCCAGCATTAGGCTATTTAAATGTCCAACTAAAATTCCAGTTTTATAGTTTTGTTGTTTTTTGTTGTTGCTTTTGTTATGGTGTAGTGGCTGATGCTGATGCCGATGCTAAGGCTAGGGTATGTGAATAAAACAATAATATGTTTGGCTTGCAGTTGTTGTTGCAAATGCCAGTTGTCACAATTTAAACAAAATATGGTTAATTGGTGTTAACATTTTCTTCTTCGTTGGCGCATTGCTGTCGTCATAAGCTTAGACGAAGCTTAGTGCTTTTTACGAAAACTATAATATTTAAACGCTTCTGATTGGTGTTGTGGTCTTGTGATTGTACAATCGATTGTGAGCATTTTAGTTTTATAGATCATTAGAACAATAATATTTTAGAAGCATTTAAAGTCAATAGTAATTCTAAATTATTTATATATTTATGGTTGTTTGGAAAATAATATTATTTTAATAAAAAATAAATAAAATTGGAGTAAATAAGTCTCAATACTCAAAAATTATTAAAACAGTGGTATAACCGACTATTTTTTAGAACTGAGTACCTTATTTGTTTGATTTCTTATCCTAGTACTAGATATATAATACGTAAATTTGGTTCAATTCCAATATTGCGGGTACGACGACTTGAGATTGGATTTTGGTAGAGTCAGCTATCCTGAGGCACTATTTCACTACGCCATATACCGTTATTGTTTACATCTTGAGATATGGGGTTTTTACATTATAAAGTTTTCATATTTTTCTCTTATATTTATATTCAAGTGTTAGTGTTTAATCCATTCTTACTCTTTTATGGAAGTTATTACTTGGATAATACACTAGTACCTAAGTGTTAATAGCAAATTCACTTCTTTTGACATCAATCTTTAAAGTATATTTATCACTGGAGACAAAAGGAATAATAGTTTTCAAGACGTTAAATTCTGCATTCTGGTGTGTATTCAAAGTATCGAAGAGGCATTTTTCCCTAGTACACATTTTAATGCTTTCAGCCTTTATATGTTTGAGTATAGAGCATTTACAATTGATTACACTAATAAAAAAATCATACCGCCCATCCAGT